TTTCTTTCTTCATTCTTGTATATATCTTGCAATAATTTTACAGTTAGTATTGTTAATTCCTTATACCGTCTCACTTACTTAAAGTTTGGGTATTTTTTGACATAATTTTGCAATCACCAAGTGGAAGGTGATGTCTATTTTGTCTATATTAATCAATTGACTACATTAATAAATTTATTACTAGACCTTTGCTTTCAGCTATTATAGATGGTTCGAATTTTTCATGCTTCCATATATGCACTACAAAGTTATTAATTTATTACACCAAGCAATCCACTAACTAAATGTGTATGTATAGAGTTATAAAGAACTGCCAGAATACTGACGTCAAGACATCATAAACCGCTTATAAAAGAAAGAAGATATTACATTGCATATTAATTAAAAAAATTCAATAGTAACATATTAAGAGCACTTTCTAATCTGCAAAGGCAGATCCCTTTAAATATATCAATAATAACGTTAAAAATATCATTAATTATTATTAATGTGAATTTATCTAAAGCATGCCAGTGACCCAGAATCTTTACACTTATGTAAAGACTTTAAAAATCCACTAAGATAACTATTTATAGTCTTAAAGTATGGCTATGACAGCAGAGTTGATAACCCGAGTTAAATTATACAAATCGTAGTATCGTCATCGATTCTAGTATACCTAGAAAGAAATGACAATATTGCAGAATTCAAATGTGTTGTGTAAAAACATTACAGTCACATCGAGCAGGCGATTTAAAGAATGTAATTATATGATATACATATCAGTTGTATTCAGCTGATGTAGATGACGATATTCTTAAGCGGCCTAACCTGGTTTATCAAGATTCTTCAAATTTAGAAAGTTCATTATCAAGTTCCAAGTTATGAAATACTATGTTATAATTTATAATAAACTTCTATATATGAGCTAATTTACCTGTAAGCTACCACTGTAAACTGTACTATAGGTGGGGCACGTATTTCGTATGAGTAAAAAGGAACCTGCTCAAAAACATAGGGTTGTACCACTATATATATTTTGCAGTAAGCAGTTGAAGCTTTATATTTATGATAGAGACACATTTTTGAAGATTTTTTAAAGTGTGTTTTAACATCAGATCCTTGTAGAGTTTACACAGGGTTTGTGCTTAAAATTTATATATAAAATTTTATATATAAAATTTAAATATAAATAGTTCATACAAACAATATTATTGTAATAATTATCACATTTAACTTAAAGCAATAAATACACATTGCAAAATTTTGTTAGCGAAGATTACGGGAATTTTATTTTTCTGGTAATACTTCTAATAAGCACTATCAACCATTTAATTAAAATTCCAATAGTTGATTAAATTTTTTTTGCATAAATTCTAAATGTAATATTGGACACACATTTCCATTCATATTCATATTTCATCAATCCTTGTCGACCGATGGCTTTATCAATCATCATTCGTATCCTCTTTCAACTTCTTATTAAAATTCTAACTTGTGTTATGTAAACGTCAAAATTCCTTCAGATGGCAACGACTGAATACCAACATACACACGCACATCAACCTACCTACCTACATATTGTTTTCATATAGAAACTTCCTTTCAAATGATTTAAACCCTTTCCGCTACATATTGAAAATGATAAGACAATACACTAGCAAAGGATTTTGATAGGAGCGGGTATGGATGTTGTATGAGTGGACATTGCTGTAGCCACTTGTTATGTTCTGGTACAGCGTACGAGTGTCAGTGTGAGTGTGAGTGTGAGTGTCCGGCGCATAGTTCCACATACAATGCATAAATCCATGTACGAAGATGTTTCGCTGGAGTACATGTTCTTGTTGTTCCGGTAATTGATCTTGATTAGCTTTGTGTTATCGAAACTTGTACTACATTGTGTAGACTTCAAGTACATTTCCAACTCATTGGCAACTCAGAGTTCGCATGGATTTGTGGGGTTTGAGTTCGAATTTGCATTCTGCATTGCAATGTTGCACAACGGAATTTATACTTGAGGTAATAATGATAAAGATTAATATCTTTGAACTTTCATAATGACCATTAAATGAAAGGAAAACAAAATAAATTTAATTTGTTATTAAATTTGAGTAATTAAGTTCATTTGGTTAGGATAATGTTATATTGATTACTATTATATATAGTTTTTTATTGTACTTCGTCTGCATAATGACATAATTTTAATTAAAATGAAATAGATTTAGAAAATATTATAAGTTGTTTTCAATTAAAAAAATTAATTAAAATTGATTATTATTTAAATAAATAAACTTGTAATTCTTGAAAATATAACTTAAAATCGATTTAAGGCAATTTTAAAGTTTTAATTAAATATGAGATGAATTTGTGAAATTATTACAAACTAAATTTAATATTTTTAAAGATTAGTATAAGTTAATTCTCTTCTTCAGAGCGGTCCAAAGACCGGCCCCCGGGCCTCATGCGACCTGCGGCTAATGTTAATGCGTCTCGCTTCATGTTTCTAATCTACCACAATTAAGAAAAAAAAGAAAAATGTTTCTTTGTTAGATTTTAGTAATGTCGCATAATTTTATTTATATGGTATCCCAAATAAATAAATTCAAATACACTAATAATAGCTGTGTTTCAGCAAACATGATCCGCTCAATGATCTGAATTATCTTTGCTGAAACGATACGGATCACGTTTGAAAATAATTGGCAACGCATGAAATATGACAGTTGGGTTTGTGTACAAAATTTTTTGATTTGTGTGAATAATTTTGGCGCTAAAAAAATAAGTGAGAAAATTTTGAATACAAAAAATCTAAAAAATGGAAAATAAATAAAATCTGTTGAAATGTCTGAAGTATTTACTTAAAAACTTAAATTTAATTCTATAGTTAATAAATGAAAATTGCATATGTTATTAGAATCATCGAGCGAAACTGACTCTTCCATTCCCTTTTTACTAGTTCAAGTGTATGGTATTAAGCTCAAGGGATGAAGTGTATCAGCATAGATATAGTGGAAGTTTTGTGGAAACGATCAATAATTTTTTCGTTAAAGATTATTTGATTGATATTTGCGCATAAAAAATACAATTGCTATATATTAATTATGTTTCATATTTTAATAGATTTGTTAATAAATTCCAATCAGCAAATGCAAAATAACCGTGATGATCACATTTGGACGAGAGCAATGAAGTAATTTTATATATTTTTGTGGTATATGGCAAATATGAATAATTTTTGCAAATTTGGTATTTGTTTTGGCATACCAAGTGCTTCTGTGTGGAGAATAATTAAAAAAACTAGTGTTTAGCTTATATCAATTGGACACTAATTTAAAATACGCACTTGCTAATAATGCAAAAATGGAAGCTTCGAAAAAATTCCCGTTCGTAATTGGTTGCATAGACAGTACAATTCTAAAAATAAATGCATCAAACCATAGCAAATAGGCTTATTTCAAAAGAAAGCATGACTATGGCTTAATCTTGCAGGCAGTTTGCGATGAAAATGATTTTTTTATAAACGTATATGTTGGAGAGCCTGGTTTCTTATGTATTGTTCTGTTTTAATTAAATAAATGTATTCAACTTAATTTTTATATA